TGTTGCTTCTTAAATTCTAGTAAAATGTTCAATACATATTATAGCAACCCACTCATTGCATTATAGTTATTTAAATAGTACTTCATTTTCTCCTTTCTAATGCATCTAATATTTAAAGTTGAATTCTATATGTATGTGACCGCGGACAGTGGACAGCCAGCGGACAAGTGATTACATAGGAATAAAGGGAAAAAAATATACTTGATAGCCATAGTATGATATATCTAAAGTGCTCATCATCTAAATTAATAATATAAAAAATTAATATGTGAAGTGTCATAAAACAAATTTCATTTTTTAAAGTTACAGTTTTAATTGACGGTGTGTGCATTAAAGGAAATTAAAGAAAATGTAGTTGTTTTTTACGTTTAGGTTTGCGTTTGTCCATTTGTGTTTGCGTTTAGGTTTCCTTTTTTGTATGCTTTTGTGTTTTCTTTGTGTTTGGGTTTGGAGCAGCGTTTGTGGTTATTTTTGCGTTTGAGTTTGTTTTCGTTTGTTTTTTGTTTGCGTTTGTGTTTTTGTGTTAGCGTTGCGTTTGTGGTTAGGTTTGTGTTTTCGTTTGTGTTTGTATTTGTGTTTGCATTTGTGATATATTTGCGTTTATTTGTTTTGTTTTTGGTTAGTTTTGGTTAGGGTTAATTCGAAAAGTAATATATCTCCTATCCCCGGGTTATGCCGGTATATGTTGCTTAATTAACACACAGGTCATGGTCGTTTACAATTACATACAGGTTTTTCACATAGGCAAGTGCAAGGCCTCGCCGAGACGGCTAAATGTTGCATATAAATAAAAGCTTGTTATTATGCATTTTAATTTTAATTTCTTTTATATGTTTGTTAGTGATGTTGTATGAAATACCATACAGATATTAGAGTTGATTCTAAAGAGATTATGTGCTCTTATTGTCTTAGTATTTTATAAACGTCTGACCCTAAAACGTTTGCTATAACACACGTGTGTAGTGTGTACATTAGACGTATGAAGTATGTACATTAGACGTGTGTAGTGTGTAGGCCTACATTATGTTTGTAGTGTGTACATATTACGTGTGCAGTGTGTACATTAGACGTATGCAGTGTGTACATTATAAGTGTGCAATGTGTAAATTAGACATAAACCTGTTATTGTCTTAGTATTTTATACATTTCTGACCCTTAAACGTTGTTATAATACACGTGTGTTTTGTGTACATTAGAAGTGTGTGGTGTGTACATTAGACGTGTGTAGTTTGTACATTATTAGTTTGTACTGTGTACATATTACGTATGCAGTGTGTACAAAAAACCTATATAGTGTGTACATTAGAAGTATATATTGTGTACATTTGAAGTGTGCAGTGTGTACATTAGACGTGTGTAGTATGTACATAAACATGCTACTGCCTTAGTATTTTATAAATTTCTGACCCTAAAACGTTTGCTATAATACTTCTGTGTAGTGTGTACATTAGAAGTGTGTAGTATGTACATTAGAAGTTTGCAGTGTGTACTGTGTACATTAGACGTGTGTAGTGTGTACACTATAAGTGTGTAGTGTGTACATTATACGTGTGCAGTGTGTACATTATATGCATGCAGTGTGTACATTTGAAGTGTGCAGTGTGTACATTAGAAGTGTATAATGCGTACATTAGAAGTGTGTTGTGTGTACATTAGACGTGTGTAGTGTGTACATAATACGGGTACACAGCATACAATGTGTGCAGTATTTGAATCTTTGACACCTGGCCGTATCCGTTATGAGAACAAAAAGTTCTAGTAAAGCCACTGACTCACCTTGCTCGTCCAGGTAAAAAATGGGCGTTGGCCAAAAGGTGAGTTGTTACTGGTGCTCATAAGTTTGCACCGTATTCTAGAGCCACTATTTATATTTAATGTTTTTATCCAGCGCAAAGATTATGCTAACATATGGCATAAATACACTTACATGTTTATTTTTGTACAATTTACTTTTCAAAAGAATTTTTTTTATTAACTTTCATTCAACTTGCTTTATTGTTGTGTGCGGACGACTGCCAAAAGTAGGAGCTAGGTCTTGGTTATAAATGTAGGGTCAATGGTTAGTGTGTGTGTGATCTACAAATGCGGACTTTGTCAAGGGTGAGTGAGCCTAGGTGCGAAGTTTAAGGTTAAGATTTAGTAAAAATGTGCAGCTTCTAGGTGTAGATCAAGGTTTCCAATACCATGTAAAGTATTGTGGTAATGACTAGATTTGGCGTCTATACACAAAAAGAACGACATCATCTATTGTAAAATAATATAGTTAAATATCAAATGCCGAAAACGATACACAAAAAATGACTTAATTGAAAATAGAGACACAAAATTAAACCCCTAATTTAGTTGTCGAAGAAACAAAATACTGGAAAAGTAAAATATATATAGTAAGTTTTAATGTTAAGGTTACGGTGCTTGTAACGATCAAGGTCGTTCTCGATTTTGTTACAGATTCAATTGCTCTTAAATTTCCGATTCCGGCTACATTTACGGCTGAGGTTTAATATAATTCTTTTGGGTTGAATTTCAATTTCCGCTTAAATTATCTCCTGCTAAATTGTTTTTTCGTTAATACTCTGAATCAGGATAAAGTGCGAGTGATAATTCATTCATAAAAAAATTCCCGATTCCGGGAAAATATCACAGTTCCGGTTGACTTTCTTTTTCAGATGATGTTTCCAGTTTATATTAAATGTTAATTTTTGGTAAATGCAGTTTCGATGTTATTTCCGTTTCTATTTATAGCTTTAGATTTTGGTTTTGACATTGGTTTAGTTAATGCAATTGGATTATTTTCTAAATATTAAATGGCTTATCTACTCACCAATCCGGTTTTTCCAATAACCGATTGCTAATGCTTAATAGCTTTTATATTACCAATACCATTCAGGGTAGAAAACAGTTTAATTGGTGTGCTATACCTTGCAGCCGTTTATTTTCTTTACATTTATTGTAAATAATTCAATATTGCAGCTTTTTATTATTTTTCCTACCCCATTTTACGCCTACACTATCATTCAACGCCTGTGGCATATACAAATCTATTAAACCATAGGCATATTTTTGCTTGTAAAGAAATATTTCTTTGCCAGAATCGATTCAAGTTTTTGAAAATATTTGCAGTTGCATTGAAACATTTTATGGTTTCATGACTTTTTACAGCTGTTGCACGTTTACTGTGTTTTATATCCTTATCACAAGGACACTTCATGACTTTTTACTCAACTTTTGGCCTTAATTCCCGTTAAAGCTGTGTTTTCTTAGTGAAAATGAATGTTTTATTAAAAGTACAAATTAATCTGCTTTATTGATTAAAAGAAAATTCTTGAAATGGTTGAAAATCATACTGTTACAATACTGTTACAATAACTACCTGTATTTTAAAAAATATATTTTATGCTAATCAGTAATAGTTGCAAAATTAACTGGTCACTTTAGTTCACAAATTCGTTACACTCTTAATGCCTAATTTATTCCTTAACTTTATCGAACTTAAGGGGGCAGTATCACCCAGACATTTGCAAAATTGACGAAACAATTTGCCAAAAAAAACTATTATACATACACATATATTATTTTTACCATAATAGTAAATATCAAGGAGCTATAAAATACCACATAAAAGAAAGTTAACGTATGATGCAAACATTTTTTACAAATAATTTTACCAAAAAATGTTTAATCTGTAATTTTTGGCTGCGGTTTTTTAACATTTAGGCCCTTCCTGCTGAGATTTATCTAGAAGATGCGTAACGGGTAGCCTATAGTTGGAACTAGAAGATATCAATTTTGACAAATTCTTAATTTTTAAAAAATTTTCAAAGTGAGTCCAAAATAATTGGACTTTGAAATTTTCTAAAAAATGTATTTTTTTAAGGAAAGTTATTTTTATTGTTACAAACAAATAAAACATTGTTGATGTACGCTATATCTCACACAAGCACCATAAAATCGTCAGATGAAGGAGGAAAACTGAATTTTCTAACCCTTAAGTGGAGTGGACACAATGGAAAATGATTGCAACATTTAAAAAGCCTTGTGATATTTTTTGAAGATAGAAAATGTATCTCTTGGTGAATGGTGAGATTTATAACAAACTGCTTTTACTCAAGGTAAGAAAAAAATGGTGCTACAAAGAAGCCAAAAATTTTTATCATAAAATTTAAAATCAATGGGGTTTTTTTTTAAATAAATAGAAGAAAGTTCTGCACAATTTTTTTTAAATTCTCTATGAAATTCTCAGAGAAATCTGTTAAAAGTAATTGAAAAAGAAACCATGTCTAATAGCCTACTTTGCTAATGAAGGGAAAAAAATGTATGATACACTTTAGATTTCATTTTGTTTATTTACATTTAGTTTGTGAAGGGTGATAACAAAAATGTTAAGGCTAGACACAACAGACAAAATATTTAAAATGATTAACAAACTGTAAAGATCAATCTCTTAAATAATGCAGATCTCAAAACCAATAACTATACTTTCTGGTAGTTATATAGTTATACATACATTTTTCCAAATTTTTAGTTAACGGGTAAAACAAGCATTTAAGAAACCATTAAGAGCTAAAAGAAATAAACTTTAAAGGATTCATAAAGATAAAACTAAGCAAAACCTGATTTTTCAAAATTTTTATTTTAATTTCATTCAACTAAAGCAATATTGGTCATTGGTTTAGTAGGTGAAAACTAAAAAATGCGTAAGAGAAATCTAAATCAACATTGCAATGAACTCATCAAGGATGGAAAACTCAACAGCAATTTTAATGTTAGAAGCTTTCTCAAAATAATTTAAGTGGTTAATAATGCCTTTCTCTCCTAAAATTGTTGCATACCTAATTTAAAAAAAAACAACAACAAATAAATTACAAAGCTCGCGGTCCAAGTCAACTCAGACACCTTACTTATATACAAGGTAAACAACAAGATTAAGTCAGAGTGTTATCACATTATAATAAAACTTAATTAAAAAAAGGCATTATTGGGTACTGTGATGCTCTGGCCAGAGTATTCTGATCTACTTTTCTTCACACCACTCATTTTCCTTTCTTACTTGCTCTTCCTTTGCTGGTGTGAAATCATTTTTAATGTTAAAAGTTTTCCTGATTTCCTCTGCGGACTTCCCTTTGATCATATTTGCTACAGTTTTGCAAGTTACATTAAGCAAGCCTTTGATATCTAAGTAGTTGGCAGCCAAAATCAACTCAAACAAGGTGCCCTGGTCAACTTTAAGAAATTCTGCATCCCAGGAGCAAACATCATCTGTTCTTTTTTCTTTTGTTTTCATCATCTTAAGGTGGTGGAGGGTCATCACGATGGAAGGTACACCATTGAATTACCTTCTTTAATATAGCAGCATTAACATTAGGTAGTGGAACAGGTTCATCCTCATCCATACCCAAATCTTCTAACATGGTTTTAATAGTGACAGATTGTTTAGCAATCTCAACATCTACTTCAAACACCTCTCCATCTGAACTCTGTAGTTTAGTCATAGGCATCTTGAAATATGAATGAAAAACCAAGCGATTATTCAGGTTCAGTTGTAGATTCGAATAATTTAGATGAGCTAGACCAGTAATCCTCATATCGTTGTTTTACAAATGAGTGTTGGCAGATACATTAGCAGACGACCATCCTTTATGGTGCCTGATTATGAGGGATACGTCCCTTTCCACGCTGATTGTGTCTATACGGGCCAAGACTAGAAGCTGTTTCTTCATTAGCTGTAGCACTTGCTTGGTCAGACAAATGGGCACGAGCATCAGTTTCCAATTTAGATTGACAATAATCTTTATCTCAATCCAACTTTTATTACAAATAAAAATTGAAGTATAAATTTAATTTGTTGGAACCGCTATGAAAGGAACAGATTTTGATAGAAATCAAATCTATCTAATACTTAATACTAACATTGAAAACTAATATATTATATATAACTTTTTAAAATAGAGAGTAAACAAAACTTGGAAACAAGTCTTATGAATAGTTTGTTGATTAAAAACTACAATTGAGTTTAAAATAAAATAATTAAAAGAATCATCAATTTTTCTAACAGGATTTTAAAAACATGAATGTGAGGCGGCGCTTTATTGCTTTAGTGGTAATATTACATTTTTAGATAGGGTAGCTGGCAAAAAGTTTGAACTTTCACTACTGCTTCCAAAGTACTTTATTTTTTTGAAATATCCACTGAGGTTTATTTTAAATATTTGCTGCTCAGATTCAACTTTTGGGTCGCTCCCATACACTACCAATTTGTTCAAATATGTTAGTGCCCCGTACAGCACCCTATCAAGTTCCCAAAGCTTTCCGATTTTTTCAATTTTGATTTTTTTGGCCATGCACGACACGTCAAACAAATTACCGTTTTTTTGCAGAACAAATGTGTGCTGATCATCACTAAAACTGATAATGTGTTCGCATGGTCCAAAAATAGGGTCAAATTCTTTGACATTTTTTGTCAGAGCGTTTAGGTAATGAACCCGTGTTTTGTCAACACCATTTTCATGCAGGGCTGAAAATATAAGAAATCCCTTTGAAAAGGCCATCACGTGCAAAATTTTGATTGTCACCGGTAGCATCGCAAATTCATATGCTCTGATTTTTTCCGCTGCTGGGTATATTCTTGATACAGTACATGTGCTGGTGTTAAATATATATATTGCATCGTCATATGACACAAGAAGCAGTTCTCTGCCTGGTAAGTCAGCTACTCGCTTCCAGACGTGTCCATTTAAAACCCAAAGAGTGCTATTTCTGTGACGAGCATGCTTACATCCGCTCGCATACATTTTTAAGCCGAAAGAAGCTAAAGAAACATCTTCAGCAAGCTTGGCATTCCCGGCGCAGGAATAAAAAGATTCGTCATATGCTGATAGAATAACGAACTGTTTTCTCGAATCAAATACCACTCCGTAGTGGTCATAGTCGCTAGATGATCGATGAAGACCGTTAGTGCGCCACTGTCCATGTACTGAATTAGTTACCTTGTTCATTATCGATTGTGAAATAAGTTCTTCCAATATTTTGTGATTTTTAACCAACTCATGTTTTTGCAACTCTTTCAAAACGGGAAGGCTTACTAAAGCTAGACGAAGGGCCTGCAATAACTTTACTAAAGCCTTTCTTCTGATCTCATAATCAGAATTAAAGTCTCTTGTTAAATCTGTATCATCGATGCAGCAGTAATGAATCGGAACATTCTCTATCCATTTGATTATTATTTCAAGTACAAAGTCTTCAGAAGAAGCATTTAAGTCTTTAGACTCAATCAAGACAAGTAAATCTTCAAGTGATATCTCAATGAACCCATTAATCTCCGCTATTGCGTCAAAATTTTTCAGCATGAATTTGTGAAAAGCAATTTTTAACTCTGTGTTCAGATACTGTTTCGTTTCATTCATTAACCTGTTTAAATTTTCCACGGTCAGAGAATGTATAGCATATTTTTCACATGCTTTTTTAATGAAGTCAACTTGAAGCAGATCTGCTGTCCGCCAGATGTCCATGAACGAATCGAAGCTCAGAGTTATTTTTCCTGTGTACATTGAGTTTATAATTGATTTTAAACTCCTAAATGATATATCATTAAATGTTACTATTCCTTCTGTCGCCTCTCTCATTCCAGACCGAAACAATGCTCTGAAGAATTCTGATGCTGCTGCCAAAACAAATCTATGGCATGGGATTTTTCTGTTTTCAACTTTGATTATAAAGTCGCATAACTCCTGATCTCCGAAAAGATTATCAAAATTGTTTACTAAGTCACGAGTAAACTCGAATTCTTCCATATTTATCTGTTTTTTTTTGCAAAAGAAAACAATACATATATACATTTATCATTTTAAAAAGATAATAAGTACTTTACATTAATCAAAACGTCAAATAGAATGTACAGTGTCCAGGTACACGACAACACATGTCAACAAAAGGTACAATGTCAAGGTACACGTTATCAAATGTCAATAAATAAAATACGCTAAAATGGAGTTTTGCCCCGTTATAGAACCCGACTTATGTTCGATAAAGTTAACCCTGCTCTGGTACCTTACAAAAAATTACCATTTTGGTACCATGGGGCCAGTTTGACCCCATGGTGAAAAATAGGCTTTTTGACCAGAATAACCGCATTCTTTTATTATTTATTGTTTACCTTGACCTATTAAGAGGTGATAATGTGTTAGTACGTCCAAATAAATATTGCATAGTTCCATGAGAAAATTTTGTTATTTTAACCACTGTATGCAAATTGCTATTGCTGGCATTGATTGTGTAATAACTTTGTATGTTCTTCTCACACCAAATAATTACAGTCATCTCAGACTAGTTTGCTTTGCTTGTCACATGATCTGGGACACATGTAACACTCTCTAGCGTAGTCCTGGATGAGAATGTGTGGTGCTTGCTGTTTGTGTTGGTATATTTAGGGGTAAATATCTTGATCACATTGACGGTACTATGGGGTCTATATGACCCTAAGCGAACAAAAATCTAAATAATAAATAATCAGTAATACTTTAAAACTATCAAACATGTGTAATGTACTTAGGAAGGCCTTACAAAAAAAATACATGGCAGGTGAGGTCACTAAACGTGGTAGTTTTCAAAATAATCTGGTCCAAAGAGGGCTTGGGGTCATATAGACCCCGTGGTACCAGAGCAGGGTTAAAGCGAGTAGGTTGACAACATTATCCTTTCATATTACGATGCAGCAAAATCTCTTTTAATCTGCCAAGTGTTAACTTTACAATCTGATCTAATTTTGATTTTTAACACAGTTAAGCTGCACATGTTTCTCTAGAGATTGATGTAAAGCCTAAACTTACCATACAGTCTTATAATTACTCTCCACTTTAAGTAAACAAACCTCTTGTTCACACCATGTTTTCATCTGGCGGTTGAACAGTAGATATGTTGTCCGGGGATTCTGGTACACATATCAACATTTTTATTTAGTAGCGGTGCTATAAGGTGCAATCAGAATGACCAAATTTTTGGTGCGTAATGCCGTCTATCTAGGGATTGCATTCCTGTTCTTCCTACTTATAGCCTGCAATTTTTAGTTTCTTGTATACGAAGCGTAGAGAAAGTCTTGCAATCGTGAAAAAGAAAATCGAGATTTTTGCAAATCTAGACGTTTTACACCTCCCCAAGTCGGAAAAACACAATCTTCTCCGTATGTCTGTGTTTGTGTGTGTGTGTGTGTGCGTATATGTCTGTGTCTGTGAACACGATAACTTGAGTACCGTTACAGCTAGGTTGATAAAATTTCATATATAAGTATTAAATCAAATTTGTAGATCTGTATCAACTTTTGAGCGATTTCCAAGAACTGGAAGTGGAACTTTTTCTACTTTCAATTTTTCAAAAGCCTATAACTTGAGTACTATTTCCGATAGGTAAATGGAATTTCACATGCAGTAAACCTAGCTACTACGATACTCAAGTTATCGTGTTTACAGACACTCCCCCACACACACGCAAAGACACATACTGACACACACATACATATACACACACAGATATTCGGACAAGATTGCACGATTACAATACTTTCTCTATACTTCGAATACGAGAAAGTAAATATTGTCTATATTTTGAGTTGTCATCCCCCATTGTGTTATCTATAATAATGGTTTCGATTCTGTCTGTGTTTTTATCTAATGTATCTATGTATCTACGTATCTGTTGGAACGCTTTTACTATAGAGTAGCTAGTTGCACAAGTACATAAAATATTAAAGGTATCGATACCGCATTTTCATGTTCCTTCGTTTTATAGGAATTAGGTTACCAAATTTTATAAAAAAAAATTTCTCCATGAAATTTAAAAATTAAACTTCTTAATTAGTAGATTCAAAGATGATAAATTAACATTTTTTTAAATAGTAAAAATTGTGCGAATTGATCTAATATGATGTGGCCTGTGCTACGTGCTACTAATTATTAAATTAGGCATACTATAACTCAACACACAAAAAATCAATCTAAAATACAGTGACTAGGTACACAGAATCAACGATTCAATCTATAATAAAGTGTCAGGTACACGGAATTAACGCTTCATTCTATAACAAAGTGTAAGGTACATGATATAAACGCTTCAATCTATAATAAAGTGTAAGGGACACGGAACCAACGCTTGAATCTATATTAAAGTGTCAGGTACACGTAATCAACGATTCGATCTAAAATACAGCGTTTAGGTACACAGAATCAACGCTTCAATCTATAATAAAGTGTCAATGTGTCAATGTAAAATACGGTGTCTAGGTACACGGAATCAACGCTTCAATTTATAATAGTGTCAGGTAGACGGAATAAACGCTTACATCTAAAATACAGTGTTTAGGTACACAGAATCATCGCTTCAATCTAAAATAGAGTGTCTAGGTACTCGGAATCAACGCTTCAATCTATAATAAAGTGTAGGTACACGGATTCAAAGCTTTAATCTATAAGTAAATGTAAGGGACACGGAATAAACGCTTCAATCTATAATAAAGTGTCAGGTACACCCCATGCAACGTTAAATTTAAAATAAAGATGTCCAGATACACGCCATCCTTACGTCAATCTAAAATACGGTGTCTA